GGTCGTCTTCGCCATTGAACAACGAACCGCCAGCACTGGCTGTGGGAACAGCTCTATCGTTGCGGCTTTGTTTTGTTGTTTTTTGTCGCATTTTTTTCGCAAGTGCCCATCTCGCATGTCTTTGCCTTCTGTTGCCAATTTGTTTGTCACTAGAGTCACTACCCAGCTGTCAGCCCCAATGCACGGAAGGCTACCCCGTTTGTACTGGAGTCTTACTAAATTCGGCGAGATCTCAATCACAGACATTGAGAAGAGTCCAGTACCTCCAAGGAAGTTAAGCGCATTGAACTCCTTTCCTGTGTTTTTACCGCACGGACTTTTCAGCGTCGGGAGCCGTTTTCAGCGCGGAAGATTCAGACTTGTTCGGCCAAGGCAAGGCGATGCTCGGGCTCGCCATGGCAGCTGGGCATTGGCAAAGCGAGAGCAGTGTGGGCTTGACCAAACGCAGAATTCGATACTGCAGCAGCACTTGTTTGCCCTGGATGTACCATTCAGAGCGCCAGCTGCCTTGCTTTTGCTTAAAGAAGGTTCCCTGGTCTGAATCTCAAACAAGGACATTCATCTTTCTATGTTTTTTTTTGAAGACGGCAAGATCAAGCCCATAGTGACTGGAGTGGCGTTTGTGACCTGTTTGGCATTGGGAGCCAGCTTTCTGTTGGCAAAGCGACCAAATTATTCCTTAACTCCATGTGGCTGCGGCTCAAATTTTGAGGTGCGGATCAAGCGCCACACCCCACGGGCAATCCAGACTCCCCAATCCAGACCAGAACGCAGGTGATCTCGACCGATCCAGACGTCCGGATCACCGCGGAACGATAGCCATGTAGCTCACTGTCAAATTATTATGATTATTATTATTGTTATTATTATTATTATTATTATTATTATTATTATTATTATGACCATTATTATTCTTCCGAGTATTGTTATTAGTAGTAGTCATTATGATTATTATTATGAATTGTGCAATTGCATTTGAGGTTGACGTAGCTCAAACATGTTGCTTGCTTGTCAGCCCATGGCATCCTACTGAGCATCGAGCAGTTGGTGCGGTTCCAGCTGTGCTTGGGGTGTGAAGCCCCAATCGCACTTGCAATGTTCAGATGTTTGTGAAGGGAGTTGTGCGTACCTGTCGGACACCAGCGGGACCTGTTCGCTTGAAATGATCCGAATGATTCTGACTTTCGACATGACTAATGGAGACCCTGGTGCCAGTTTTGTGTTGATTGGAAGTAGTGTCTAGCGCTTCATCATGTGTTACTTGCTGCCGCTTGGCAGGCATCCAACTATGCGCTTTTGTGCATCTTCGCATGCGTTGAAACACAAGCCGCCTTCATCCACACTCTCCAGATCGATCTCACAGACTGTTCATTTTAGCTTGGCCCAGCCAACGCCAAGAAATCAATCATGTGATGTTTCTGGACAGCTGCAAAACTTGTCATGGAGGTCGTACTGACATTGTATTGTAAGGTGCTGAAAGAGCAGAATCTAGAGGAGGCCGGAGATCTTTTTCAACGCCTCCGACCCAGCCACTTGGATACAGCAAATGGATTATCAGCGATGATGCTTTGTTTGGCAATAGCGAATTGCTATTGATAGAATATGTTGGTAGCACTTTGTTACAGCTGAGCTGTTTGCCAATGAATGCGTGCAACGTAATGTGATCCTTCGTGTGTAAGTCTTTGCGTGTGTGTGTGTGTGTGTGTGCTCGTTTATGTGCTACCGTGGTTGCCTGTTTGTGTTTGTGTGTTGGTGTGTGTGTGTGTGTGTGTCTTTTTGAGGCATAAAGACGACACATCGGCGCCCAGCTTCGTGGCATGCCCGTAGAGGCTGGGTCGGGTGCAAGCGGAGCCTGGGACTTTGGGTCCCAGATATGATGTCGTCAATTAGTGAGAAGGAAAATGATTGGCACCCGCAGTGTTTTCAGGATTGCCATTGCTTTTTAGGATTGCCTTTGTTCCGTCCCTAAGAATATAACTTCCATGTATAGTTGAAGGACTGTGACCGTGTTAGGCTTGGTGCATAGTAATTACCTTTGCATGTGAATCGCTATGATACTTTGGCTTGCGAGACTTTGGCCTTGGGCAAAGCGTAATGACCAACAATCAAGTTCACCAGGGGTGGCTAAAGCCGCAACCAGACGCAATCTGACAAAGGGGCGGAGCTTAATGTGCTTCCTCCGGGCCACTGGCAACAGAAAAAAAAAAAAAAAACGCATGAATGAGATGGCAGAGGTGTAGATTGCCTTGCTTAGGCCACCAACTTTTGCTGTGCCGTGTCTAGCCCGCGTTGCCTTCTTGCCAGGCAAGAGCCAGCTGCTGGATTTGGATTGCAGTGCGAACTTCAATCGTCAAGCTACTGCTTGACATCCCTCCGCCGTATTGGGGCACAGCATGGTTTTATTCTTTGAAGAGTTTCAGATGTCTTCCTTTCCCGCGACTTTGATTTGGAAGGAATTCGTCTTCCAGCTCCCGGACTGCGCCACACGTTTCAGCATCCAAGTACCGGCCAAGAGGCGCCGACTTTTTGGTGTTTGCCCCGAGGGCACATGTTTTGGCCGGTGCTGTTTGCGTGGAGTGATATTGTTCTTGGCATCAATTCAAACTTTCAAGCCCACCAATTCAGAGTGAACAGCAAATGGGACTTCAAGGCCTGCATTGTGCCTGCGGGCATTGTGGTTGCCCTTCGGCGGGCCTTGAACGGAGGATTGCGCTGACGCACAGCGGAGCGGTTTGCTTGTTCAAGCATGAAGTTTTGAGGCGGCACAGCTTAGCCCCACACGGCGAGATCTTGTCAGGGAGAGAATACGGTCGGCACCGGCTCAGCCTGATTGAAAGCTGATATGTGCGTTCGGCATGTACTGCAAGGGATTGGCAGCTGAGGCAAGATCGGTTGAACGTAAATCCAGTGTCAACCTTCAAGAAAGTGAAAGCAACATATTTTGTCGCAAATTAGGGCCCCTGTCAACGCGCACTCGCATGTCGGTGTGGGCATGGTTGGCATGATCTTAGTGGAGCTAACTGGCGCCAAACTTCTGATGGCACTATGGTCACTGATTCGCCATGCGACACGGGCATGTGGCAAGCAAAGCTCCGATTGCCACGTCCGACACATGAAGCGATCCACTCGCACCCAGCATGAGACAGTCGCACCGATATATGCACCATGTGCATCTATGGATGCCTGATAGCTCGGGTGCAAGTTTTTCCACGTTTCCTTCCGTCTTAAGGGGGAGTTGAAAGGAGGGATGCCGGCTCAGTGACTGTGGCCTACATGTTGTTTTCCACAAGTATGCTGTTCGATATCGCAGCACATCCTGACTGTGCAAGATACAACAAGCACGGTGAACATGTTTTTAGGCAGCTGGCACCTCCTGGTTTCAGTACAGCTTCGGCTAGGTCCAGGTCTGCCTTAGCAAGTTCCAAGCAGTTTCAGGCCCTTCGCAGGATGGTGCCTTACCAGGCTGGCTCATTTATGCCTGGATGAAGAGCATGTTCCAACAGACTTGAACAATTTGGCAACTTGGAACCTTCTGTGTCAGAATCAGGGGCGTCCACTGAAGAACATCTTGCGCGCTAGAATTGTGTAGCCGCCTGGTGATTGCAGCATGTTGATGTCCGAAGGGACTCCTGCTGGTGTCCTTGTCTCTTTCTTGGACAAGACTCGCATCAGGGTGGGCCAAACCCAAGCTTGTGCGCTGGATGTGCGTGCATTAGCACAGGAGTGAAGGGTTATGTTATGTGTTATGCTCTTGCTGGCTTTGAGTATCAAAGCTCCAGAGCACGCCAGAGTGCACCGCTCAAGGGTGGTGCATGATACATCAGTCAATATCCCAAATGGGAGGTCGCTAAGCAGCTGGGCATATCCGTGGAAACATGTGCGTGCCCAGGAAAACCTTTGGCGCGGACATACAGACAGCTTGTGTGTAATTGTATGAGAGGCAATTGCAACATCAACAAGACTCACGATCAACGACCTTGTCAATAAAAAGGAAAACAACAAAAGAGCCATCAAAAGGGAGCGAGGGCGAGCCAAGAGCGTAAGGGAAAGCAGAGAAGGAAGCAAGGAAGGAAGCAACAAAGCCAGGAAGCAACACAGCCAACAAGCAACGCAGCAAGGAAGCTAGGAAGCAACTAAGCAACGAAGCAAAGAAGCAACGAAGCAACTGAGCAACAAAGCACAGAAGCAACGAAGCAACGCAATTGAGAAACTAAGCAACGAAGCAAAGACCAGCCATGGCAAAGCAGAACCTGCAAAAGCCAAAGCAAGAACAAGCGCAGATGGCTTATCAGGCAACTGCATTCGAGGACAAACAAGAGCAAGCACACAGCAAGTAGTGAATGAAGCCTTGAATGCTGCTTCCTGAGAGAGGCCAAGAGTCTGAAAAAGATGCCCAACGTTGTTTGTATTGTTTTGTTGTGAACGTGTTGAACGCCGTATAATGCTTGTTTACTGCAGTGAAGACTAAAAGACAGGTGGCAGTGGAAGGTATGTGGTCATTGTGGGTCGAAAAGGCAGCGCAGAGAAGCAAGCAGTCCATATGCTGTGCATGGCAAGTCTCAGCTGGATCCACAAGCGGAGCCGCAGCTGAACTGTGTGAAGCCAAAGGATTCCCCCCTCCCTAGATTCCCAGCAATACTAAACCCGAAAAACAACGCATCATTCCTTTGGCACCAGATTAATCAGGGGGTCCTCCAAAGAAATCTCAGTTCTGGGAGGGCGTGTCACTTGTCCAAACCTTGTCGACCTTGAAGGGAGTCGGGGGTGGGGCTGGGCGCCCCACTAATCAGGGGTAACCGTTAACTGTATTCCAAGTCAAGCAAAGCATGAAGCCTAACATCTTGTTTCAGACTCACCGCCAGTCGTTTTGTCGTCTCTTCCGGTACTTTGGATTCGTTTGTTTGAAATACCGCAGCAAGGGCGACAAGAGTTCTCAGGCCCCCATGGCTACAACAGTCTCGCTCCTCATGCCTGAACATTTCAACTCGTCGGTTGCCCAGGTGACCAGCAAGCAGCTTCAACTCTTGCCACTCTACGCGTGTGCCTTACGGCAGGTAGCCAGGCACGAACGAAGCGGCAAAGTTGTGTCCACTGGAAAGGCAGCCAGTGCTGGCATTGGGGAAGACGTGTAGATCTATCCAAACAAACAGCATGCAGGAGTTTGGACTTCTTGATTGTATCCGGGTCCGCGGCTCCTTTTGCTCGCATACTGAGATCCTGGCAGCGCGTAAATTGCTCTATGCCTTTGTCGGCTGCAAGGAGGACAAGGCAGGGTTACTTGTCCTTCTGCACAAGAAACGATCGCGTTTCAGAAGAGTCTTCTCGATTGATGACGCACTACCATTGCGCGACTCAAGCTATCCTGTCCGGCAGTCTAGCAAGCAAAAGGCCTGATAATGGTTTGTATTCCTGTGGAGGAGCACAGCCCAGATTGTGGCAAGAAGCCACAGATGCCAACTTGTCAGCCTTCATCACGTTGCTATTTTCAAGCCGGAACCAGAAGGAAAACAGACATTTGCTGCTTCCCTGATTTTGACACAAACAAACAAATAAACAAACCAGCAAGCAAGCAAACAAGAAGCAATCACGAAAGTAAGGAAAGCAAGCAAGCAGGCAGGCAGGCAGGCAGGCAAGCAAGCAAGCAATCAAGAACAACAACAACACAAGCAAACACAAAAAACAAACAAACAAGCAAGCAAAAAACCAAGCAAGCAAGCAAGCAGGCACGCACGCACGCACGCAGGCAACAAAGCAAGCAAGCAGACAAACAAACAAATAAACAAACAGACAAGCAAAACAAGCAAACCAAACAAAGAAAAAAGGAAAGAATGACAGAAATAAATAAAGAAAGAAAGAAAGAAACAAGAACACAAGCAAGCAAGCAAGCAAGTAGGCAAGCAAGCAAGCAAGCAAGCAAGCAAGCAAGCAAGCAAACAGACCAACGAGCAATCAAACAAACAGAGCTACATGTTGCAATTGAAGTTGAAACATTCTTTGTCACCTTCAGACCGCGGCAGCAGGCCACAAGGCCTGCGTTTCTAGTGGCATGTGGGTGATGAACCGCAATTTGATATGACGCGGTCATCACAAGTTTATTGCAGCACATTTTGGTAGCCTCAAAACCAGGGCCCGGGCCCCATACCTGTTTGGTGTCATGGTTCTCTATTGAAATTGTCTTCCAGGGGCCCACTTTGACAGCCATTTGATTGGACGCAAGTGCATTGCTTGCCATGTTTCGGGTGCGATCTAATTGAATCTGCAGTAGGGGTGCACCTCTTCCTGTTATTTAATGGCTATGTATTGTTTTCTCAAAACCGACTGGCGGACATAAATCCCCATGTAAACGATGCCCAGCAGAGGCTCCCCAATCAAACTCATATTCTTGTATGTCACACTCTGGCATGTCTTCCGCCATCGGCGATCCTCTGGAGTGCCCAGTTCAACTGTCACAGCAGCCTGCCCTCGAAGGTCCAAGAGGAGATGCTGCAGCGCATTCTGAGGAAACTTGGCAGCAGAGCTTTCTGCCGTCCGGCTTTTCGACGCAGCTTGCAGCCTTGCCAACAGATTTGTGTGCGTGTGTATGTCCAACCAGCCAGGATGCCCATCCACAACATCATGATTGCTCTCTATCCTCGTGACGGGCATCTCAGGGCATCCACAAAGAACTGAAGCGATCTGAGACGGCGAGACAACATGTTTCTCAAAGTGCGGCAATGTGCAAAGCTTGGCGCTGAAACCACGCAGCTTCTCAGGCTTGACATTTTGCTTGGAGGGGGATGAGCATGTGAATATGAAGTGTTGATTGGGCTGCAAGGTGCTCCATGCTCATTGGTCATGGTTGATCCTCTCAGCGTTGATCACAGGAAACCTGGGGGGGGGGGGGGCAACCTTTTAGTCCTTCAGCTGCTCAGCGCAGCTGTGTTAGGCATGATTGCCTTCAGCTGCAAGCTGCAGGTGTATCCCTTGCCCGCCACCTTTCCAGAAGGAGTGGACCTTCCCAGGCCCGATATGCTTGCGTGTCCCGGGCCTGAAGGCCATTGCAAAGGCAAAAAGAACACAGCGCCCCGGGTAACTTGGCTTGTGTTTGTTCTCTTCTGTTGCTCCAACTGCGGCTCATTGCTCTGCTAGCCAGGCATTCTCCAGCTGCAGAGGAGCAGGTAAGCAGGCAGGCCGCGAGCGGCGGGCATTTGGTCTGAAGAGAATTGCTGCTTCGCGCATTTGCCAGCACATCACAATATGAAGACTGTTTGCAGAAGTTTCCATGGCGAATGCGTCATGGAAGCCTCTCCATGCTCCAGTTGATCTTTGGGATCCCGTTCTCAGATGATACATTTCTTCCCGAGAAACAACCTTCCCACCTTCCCCCGAATCGGCAGGGGAGCGGCACCCGGATATCTGGTGGTCAACGGCCTGGGCATGTGGTACCAAGCAGGACGATCGGCATGCCGAGGGGTCGACACTTAGCTACGCGCCACTCGCGCTGAATTCGGCATGCTTGAGGCCCCAAGATGCAAACAGTCCACGTTGCTTGACAAGGAAGGGTTTGTCAAGTGCATCTCATGGTATGAGGGCTCCAGATGTTCGAGCTAGCACAGCACGTACCAAACAGGGACCCTTGGCGGGTCTTTGAAAGAGACGTGAAAAAAAGCAGCTGCGCCTCTAAACCTTGAGCATGGTCGGGCCTTTCCGTGGGCGTCTTAGAATGGTTATATTCAATGAGTCGCAAAGAGTTTCTGCTGGTCTCTAGAAAACCACGGCACAATAGACCTTTGTCGAAAATTGAGTTCCCCCACTGGCGCGCTTTAGTAGGCCTGGGTGAAATCAATTCAAGTACAAGTATCACACATCATAGCACACTCCCAATTTGACGGCATTTGACGGCATTTGAGTGGGTATCGCTTGTTGACAAGCTGGGCACCACCCAAGACCATTTCTTGCTCCCTTGCCTGTCCCTGTAGCTCGTTAGATAAATCACTCGGTCTCCTTTGAGGGGACGTCGGTGTTTGTTGATGCTTGGTGGGAAGCTTCACGCTACTTGCTAGGATATTATAGTCCTCGTTTTGGGGTAGGGCAACCGCCTTGCGCCATGACAGCCTTATACAGCGCCAAGAATACCTATAATATATATATATATACATATATGTATGTAGAGATTGTGGCTCATTCAGATGTGAGTGGAGCAACGCTTTGGCGCGCGGAGTTGTTTTTTCATTTTAGGGCGGTTTCCCCGCATCATTTTGCTGGTTTCCTGGCCTGTGGCATACAGTTATAAATACATAGCATATATATATATGTATATATCGGTCCCAGTCCGTGGTAGTTGATTATCGTAATTGTTGATTTGGACTGCTGAGTTTGCTTTCAGACTTGACCTTTCCAGTCAAGGGAAGGACCTGAGGCGCACTGCGTCAGGGAGATCATTCATGACCCACAGTACCGATCACCTGTTAGTGCTCACTCTCAAACTTGGCTTGGCCTGAAACGTGTGCTCAAGCCGCTCACCCAGTGTATCTGCACATATTGGTCAGACAGCACATGGCAAGCCTGGGCAGCTGGAAAGCCATACAAATAGAATATTAATACCTGACACAAAAAACACATACCGTACTAGTAAGGTATAGGTCCTATAGGTGCTTTTCTGGATGTTTGGCGTGTCGGTGACTAGGAGCTCAAGGGGAGCTCCGGGAGGCCGCTGCCGAGCTGGCAGAGAGGCATGCCGCGAGCGTTTCAATTCGGAAAAGGACGCCGTGGCCTTTGACCGTTTCTTTGGCGGAGGGGTCCCTACTAAAATAGACAACAGAGAAAGAGTACCCTTATTCTAACCTCTCTACTGGAGGACCTAGTACTGCTTGAAAAGGCAGGCTGGTGCGCAATTTTAAGTGGCGCCAATGTTGGGACACGCCCAAACCCCAATGGTTTTCCAGAAATGGCCCATGGCGATTAATTTGAGCCCTCGACAAGGTTAGGATCATTTAAAGGACTTGCAATCGTTGGAACAATGGCCACATTACTGGTTTCCCGCTTGCGTCCCTGGGAAATGAGGCGCCCATGTTGTCTGAAACGCCTAATCTGGTCTAAAGACAATGTCCACTTGAAGATGTCAATTTGTGTGATGCGTCTTCTTCAGTCTGTCTCTTTGTCTCAGTCTCCCTTTTTGTTCCTGTTTCTGCTTCTGTTTTTGTTTGTGTCGTGTTTCCGTTTTTCGTTTTGTGTGTTTGTCTGCATGTGTTTGTTTGCCGTGCCTCTGTCTGGAGTTCCAGGTCAATCCCCAACTGCTGTTCTGTCAGTTTCTGTCGAAGCCAGTGCACCCGCGACTTGGCGGCCTGAGGTCGGCTCATCTGCGGACACGACCACTCGCTGGGTTGATGAGATTGTTCAGTGTTCACTGATTGAGCTTGATCCCGTTCGGAATCTTCATCCGCCTCCCATATCAATTGTAGCTTGACTATCCTGTGTTTGCCTCATGGATGCGGTGGCACCCGCGGAGTTTTCACCACTACGCAATCTGTTGCTGATATTGAAACACAGTGACAGCCGTGCCAGGATCAGGGAAGTATTGCAACCAGCACCAGACGCTTGGCGCGGGTTCGTTGAAATGGCCCATGTTTTGAGCCCTTGAGCACACGACATCCTGGCTCGTGAGATCAGATCTGCATTTGACAGTTAGGATGCTGGACGAAATTGGAGGTTCCAGGTGTGAAAAGCAATTGAGTGTCACCAACGCTGAGCCTGCAATTCAAGAGCCTTACCCGTCCAAAAGGTATCACTGGAACCTGCTAAACGCCTTGCAAGGAAAATGGTTTCCTAATGGTATTTTGGCGAGTGTGCCTCATGTCATCCCCTTTTACTATAACATTGAATGGTGACCATTGTGCATACAACGGTGTCTTTGAGCACTTGAGCATGGCTTGATTGTTTGACCTGTTGACCTGTTGCAATTCCACACGGAAACATGGGACTTGTGCTACAATGGAAGCCCTAAGTATTGCAAGTACCACCACACGGGATGTTGACACCACTTCTATGGCATCGCCCGCTGCGTGCGGACCCCGCACCCCCAGGTACAATGTTGAAGCCAAGCGCGTAGCCCCTCTTCCGAGGCCCAATATATTGCAAGTTCAACATTGAATCAGGGGAGAGGGGCCCGTAGATGTCATGTTGCTGTGCTTCTTGTTGTGACAGGTGCCATTATTTCTTTGCTCTGCACTTGCAATATTTCGGGCTCCAATCGTAAGTTGATATGGCTGTGGGTCAAAACCAATGGTACCATTTTGGGGTAGGTGCACCACCCATTTTAGTCTATTTTAGTGTGTGGTCACTGGCCTAGCGGGCCAGTCTCAGGACTGGATTCCGCTCGCTGAGCTGCCTCAACTGGTGCAGCCGGCACTTCCGGAGAGCACTGGAAAGTGGAACGCGCTCCTTTTTTTGATAAAGGTGTCAGATTGGGACGAGGGGTAATCCTGATTTCCTTGGTCCGAGTAAAACGATGCAATGTGGTCTGGTGTTCGACATCTGCATAATCATAACGTTCTTGGATGTTTTGCAGTATGTGTTTGATGTCTTCAGTTGTTATGTTCGCAGGACGTGTCTGTGTGGTAAGAGCAGCACCAGGCCGGATGTTCAAAGAGTGTTTAGCAAGTTCTCTGAATGCGCTCATTGAAAATATCTTTCCGAACTCGCTGCCGACGGAAGCTTTGATCAGGGCTCCTGTTTTGCGCTCGTGCAGGAGAAAGTTGGCCAGGAGGCAGCACCGAGGCGGCCAAAATACGGCAGCCTGGATCTCAAGAGTCGGACGGATTGCTAGATGCAAGCTTATTCACCCGCCTATTCATATGTACGGACAGTACGTGCTGTCTAGTTTTGATTTTGGGTGCTCATCCTGATGCAGTAGCGTGCTAGCTGGTATTCACGGCAAGAATCAAGAATGGCATTCTGAACACAGCGAAAAGAGGCTTGGCTGGGCAGGAAAGGCAACGCGCTGCCATGCGGTGAAGGGTCCATGTTTTGCGATGTGTTCAGAGGGTCCATGTTTTGCGATGTGTTCAGGAGGGTGGCCAGTACACAAAGCCATTATTTGACGGAGATAAAAAGGGGCCAGCCTCGGACCAAGGCCGCACACCGGGCGCATCGTTTGGAACACCGAGTGTAACCAAAGCCACGTCTGAGACCAGCTGGCCTGAGAAGGCCTGGTGGATGGCCAACGGTTCAGCTGCTTGGTACCTTTAGGAAAGATGCGTTGGATTGCAAGATGGATGGTGCCAAATTCCTGAATGGCTCAATTCAGAATGGGATCACTTACTCATTTGCTGTTCGTGCAAGCTGTGCCGATGGATTCACGCCGCGGCGCCATTCTGCAGAGGTGCTGCTGTCCGCGCTCTTTGTGGAAGATTCGGGCGTCCTCCCCTTAGAACTACCAGTAGTGCTAAGTCCTGCATCCCCAGTTCAGAGCGATTCATTCAGTTGAGTGGCTCATCTTTCTTTGTGTTGAACGAACCAAGACATCTAATATACTTTTCCGCGAGATCTTGTGGTAGAAGAAAGTGCAAGCTGGGACAGCTCACTGTCTGAGTCCATGGGCGTTGAAAAATGATTGGGAAGACCATGTTAGTGGCAACCAAAGGGTTTGGTTGGGTTTTGGCCAGCCCACTCAGGAAGTGAGGCGGGCAATTCGTATTGACATCCATGTGACATAATGTGCATTTGCGAAGCAGTCGCAAATCCGAATCAGTCGGTGTGCCGGAGGCAAACAGCCAAACAACATGTGCGGCACTGAGGTCACAGAGATGTCGTACCCTGAGTGGATATCCTTTTTGCAGGAGCAACAATAAGTTTGAATTTGTGCTATGTGTGTGTGTGTGCGTGTGTTTGTGTGTTTGTGCGCAAATTATATATATATATATATACACATGTAATATGTGTGTGTGTGCGTTCACTTTTTTCCCAGTGAGACGTGTGCAAGTGCCAAGCGGCAGGAGCAGTTGGTCCTGCGGCTAACGGAGAGCTAGGCGGGGGGCTGCATATTCTTTTCGATCAGCTGAGCTTTGCTATGTGCAGAGGGCAGGAAAAGGATGGGACATGCTCAACCCCTAGCTGGGACGGGTAGTCTCAACACAGAGGGCAAGTATTGCAATTCATCCCCATGGTCAGTTTAAAGCTTGTTTCTTTGTCAACTGGCACCCAAGGGTGCAATTCATTGGAGCCTGGAGTGCTGCAGGAGCAGGACGTGCAGGATAATACCTGCTCTGGCCTTGATGCAAACATAATTGCCGTGTCCTGCGCGAAGCGCACAGACACCCGGCAAGAGTTGAAGAAATGAGATGGCTGTGCGTCAAAAGTAGTGTGTTCCTTGAATGTTCATTCTCGTGTTGGTTCATTTTCAGACGATTATAAAAAGGTGATCGTTTTGACACACAGCCAAGTCGGAATGCCTCATCTATGTCAGCATAGCCCAGCAACATAAGTTATTGTTGTGCAAGTAAACATCAAGACGGTGTGAGGGCCATGTATTGACAAGGTGAGGATAGCAAGCTTGGATTTTGCTGTCACAATGACACTTCTTGTTGCCTAGGTTTGTTCATATAGATCAGTCAGTTCTGCCAACCAGACGGAATGGTGTGCCTTCACTGATGAGCTGAAAACTAAGAATGCTGCCGTGTAAATCACTAGCCGCTAATCGTCGCAGCGATCATATTCCTTCAAGTTTCAAACTAAAGAGATGGATCACTGTTCGTTCAAGATGAATCTAGCGCATGTGACGCAAGCCAGCACAAACCCAGACAAAGAGTGACACACCATTTGTGTTTGCCACAACCATGGCTGCGCACCAGCCCAGCCTCACTCAGCCGACCTGGTCAAGCGCAGCGAGGGGTGGTGCAGCGATGGATGGGATACAGGATGCATCAGATGGTGGAAGGATTGAGCGATTTTGCTGCTGATGGGAATCGTTACCCTCGGTAGGAACATGGCCCAGTACCAAATTGCACCCCACCATGCTGCGGCTGACCTCATGCCTTTGGTGAAACCAAGGTTTGTTGAGCTCCCCAAGGAGCTGCAACTGCACTTTTGTTCTTGGCCAATTCCACTCAAGGAGTGGCGTCTCGTGGCTGAAATTGTTTTGGTGGGCACCGCGGCGCAATTGCTCGATTCAGCCCCAAATTGAAGTATTGAGGTCTACTGTTTTCGGAGCAAAGTCAGTATCCAAGAGCATGAGTGTGAAGAGTGCCAAGACAGGGTTTTCCATGGAATTGCGTCTAGGCTCGAGCTTCCAGAGTTCCAGGAATTCGAGCAGGAGAGCTGCTTTTGCGGATGCAGAGTTGCATGGATTCGACTTAATTCTAGATAGCCATTGCTAGTGCAAAGCAATATCCAAATAGATTCAATTCTGATATTCAAGATATACAATAATAAATATAATTATGAAGTGGGGGGTTTTTAGTTATCATAGAAAAATATCGTAAGGCACATGTATATGTTTGATAAATGATATAGTGTTATAAAATCTAAATGTTAAATTAATATATATATATATTGAAAAATATATTTATGTATATTATATATTGTATATATGGAATACATTCTATTTTATTGCCTTGTTTATATATTGGAGAGGGGGGGGGGGGCGGATTAAAAGGAGGATATATTTTTGTTATTTGTTTATGTGTTTGGCATGTTGAGAAATGTTGGAGATTTGATATATATGTTTATTATGATATTAGCATTGTTTGGTTGGTAATTTGTTTTTAAATTTGCAATTATAGATAATATTGATTTTGAAAAATAATTGATTTAATGTTTTGTGTTTGTATTTGAATGATATTTTAAGATGTTAAATGGGATAATTGTAAACACTTTGCGTTGGCCGCCTCGGCCTAGCCTAGTTTGAGGGAAGGGTTAGGAACACCGAAATCTAGTGTTGGGAAGGTTCGAATCCTACTGAAAGCTTGTGACCGCACTAGTTCGCCCATGCTAGTTTGATGTTCGGAAGCCGTCTTGCTCGGAAGGTTTGAAATCCAAAGCCAAGACAGGCTTAGTAGCTGGCGTAGTTTGAGATTAATCTCAGACACGTGAGACTGGTCGTTGGCCTGAGGCTAGTCTTAGACACGTGAGACAAACCTGACCTTGGCACGCTGGGCTGAGCCTGCCGGTGCCAGCTGGGGGCCGGCCTAGTAGCTGGCATGCCCTGAGCCGGGGCCTGGGCTGGACAGGCTGGGCTGAGGTGGGTTGCTGGTTGGGCTGGGCCTGAAGCTAGTCTTAGCCACGAGGCTGCAGCCGGACTGAGGGGCTGGGGCACGTCAGACAGGGTAGCTGGCATAGCTTGAGACCAATCTCAGACACGTGAGATTGGTTGTTGGCCTGAGGCCAGTCTCAGACACGTTAGACAAACCTGACCGCTGGTGGGCTGGGAGCTGGGGGCCGGCCTAGTGGCTGGCATGCTCTGAGATGCGCCGGGGCCTGGGCTGGGCAGGCTGGGCAGGCTGGGCAGGCTGGGCTGAGGTGGGTTGCTTGGGCTGGGCCTGAAGCTAGTCTCAGCCACAAGGCTGCGAAGCCATGGGTGGGTTGCTGGCTGCCGGGCAGCCGGACTACGGGCTGGGCGGGCTGGGCTGAGCTGTGCTTGGGGGACTTGTTTCATACATACTTGGGCTTGAGGCTGCGTAACGATTGCTGGCTGGGCTGGGCCTGAGGCCAGACATGTAAGACACGCCAGCAGGCGGGCTGAGGAATTGGGCCTAAGGGCTAGTCTCAGGCTGGCATACTTTCAAACCAGTCTCAGATTGCGCCGAAGGGGTGGGCCTGCTGGATGACTTGGGGCCAGACGCGAGCAGGAGGTCGACCTGGCCAGTCTGGGCTGAGCTGCTTGGGCAGCCGGACTGAGGGGCTGGGGCACGTCAGACAGGCTTAGTAATTGGCATAGCTTGAGACCAGTCTCAGACACGTGAGCCTGGTCACGCTGCACTAAGCCTGCTGGCGGGCTGGGAGCCGGCCGTGGCTGGCATGCTCTGAGATGCGCCGGGGCCTGGGCTGGGCAGGCTGGGCTGGGCTTGCTGGATGACTTGGGGCCGTGGTTGCTGGTTGGGGGGGAGGCATGTGTCAGGCAAGCCTGGGTGGGCTGGGCTGACAGGCCTGGCCAGCAGGCGGGTTGTTGGTTGGGCTGGGCCTGAGCTTAGTCTCAGACACGTCAGACAGGCCTGGCCAGGAGATCATGCTTTTCAGGACAAAAAAGGAATTTTTAGTGATTTTCGCACATTTTCGACAAAAATAGACCCATGGAGCTGGACGCCGACGAACCCCGAAAATTTCAAGGCCCGCCGGACAGGATTTTGGGCCAGCCGACATGGGGGGGGGGGGGGCCGGCAAAATTTTGGTTGGGGAGGGGGTTGGGGAAAAGCGAAGATTCTGTTTGGAGAAGAGATCTGAGCGCCCTTGGCCCCTTTGGGGCCGAGGCGAATTTGGGGCATGGATGCCTTGATATTTGTAATTGCTGGTGGCTTTGTGATTGGTTGGATTAGTTATGCTATTACGATTGATTTATTTGTTCTGGTTCTTTGTTATTGTTGGTGTGAATGCATTGGATTTTCGTTATTGATCTTTATCGCAATTCTTGATTTGGATTTTATGACCCCCTTGATTTGGGGGCTGCCATAGCTGGTAGGGCTGAGGCTTTGGAGAGCCCTTTAGGAAAGGGTAAGAAAGGGCTGTTTAGGTTAAGTGGCAAGCCTTTGGCCTACAATTTTGCTCTATAATGAATCCTAAGAACTTTGTTTTGCTCAACTACGTGCTAATATGTTGATATACTCGCTTGTTGCTGACTTATATAACGGGAAATTCATGGATAATCTTTATACCTGACCTAGACCTATATGAGGAAGAGATGTCTATTAGCAACGGAGATGTTATGGATTTTCGGTTTTTGGGGCCGGGAGGCGTCGTTCCGGGCGACATTGTGCCTGGCTCTGTTTATGGCTTCGCCCCCCATCTTGCCGGTCACTTTGGCAGGTCTGCGGATTTAGGCCGATGTTATGGTAGTTGGAGTTCGTCCCGTCCACGTAGTTGTTCCAGCTCCCCCGGCGCCTTTGCCTCCTGCGCCTCCTCATGGAGCATGTGTAGGCTGGTGTGCGAGCTTTGGTGCCTTTCGGCACGGACTACATCGTCGCGAAAAAGGTGTTCGCGGAGGACGACATTCGCATCCTGCCGATTCCTAGGGTGTCAAGCGGCATGAGTTCAACTTGACAATTTCCATATTGCAGGATGTGGTGCCGCAGGGTGGGGGCTTGCAACTGCAGGGGCCTCCAACTCTGATAAACATCATAAAGCTGCTCCGCGACCAAAATCTCACCCCAACTACCTTCCACGAGTACTGGGTTCGCACGGCAGATCTGGCACGGGGAGACCGATCGGTTTTGAGTACGAATGCCTTTCGCGCATCCTGGAGTCAATGCTGACGGTTGACTAACTCAACGCCCTTTGCCTTCAGTCGGCAGCTGGTGAGACGGATAGATATAGGTGATTAGGGAGGTATATAGGGTGTCCCTTTCTGCACCGGATACTCTTTAGCAGATATTATGATGGGCTGGAGATACCGCTCCCAACAGAAAGAAAGGAGCAGAGGGAGTCAGCCATGAGTGGTTGGCGGTGGACATTGCGTGGGGGCGGGGATGCCCAGTGCATGAGCAAGCCCCCCTGTGATGTACACTAGTGTCTGGCAGGCCACCTAAATGAATTCGGGCCAGCGGCTGCATCTTCATTTTTTACACTTAATGGCACTGACAGGCATAGAGACCGTTTTCCAGCGCCGCTGATCTGCGAACGTCCTCTCTGCGATGTTGGTTCCAACCAGTCCCAGCGCAGGAGGGTTGCCAAATTTAATCGTCAGGCAAAATTAATTCACGGCTTCGTGTTGAACTGATTAGTGGGCAGAGAGCTGCCCAAACGGAGGTTCTCAGGCAGGTGAAGACCGTGGCTGACAACATCCCTTGGTATAGTGAGCATGTGCCTCTCATACAATGAGGAGGCTTCGACAACAGTGCGTCCTTACCAACCTGACCTAGTTTCTCTGCCTCAGGTGGGGGCTAATCCTCCCCATCTGTGGGATCTGGTGGATGACTTTGGTCGAGAAATTCTGGAGGACCCCGTGGGGAACATGATAATTTCAGAGGATAAGTGGGGAGTAAAGGTTTTTGTGAATCGTTTGTATTAGGGAGCATGCTTCGGTTCACTGCACGGCCAAAAGGCATGATGACCCATTTTTTCGTGGCAAAGAAGAATGGGCGCTTGCGTCTAGTGCTTAAGTATCGAGCCATTAACGAGAGATTTTGGGAGCCCCCTCCAATGTTGTTTGCAGCTAGTTCCTCGTGGTCCCATTCGCTCAGCCTTCC